GAAAATTTCAAGGTTATTACAATAGAAGTCGGACGGCACTTGAAATTTTTCCTAAACCTCACAGTTAGTAAGGGTTTCCTTAAGCCTCACACTGCTTTTTGACCCAAATATTCCTCTACCGCCTTAACGGTGCAAAATACAGCAAAATGGACAAAAGTTTTGCCCAGAAGACGCTGCTTTGACAAGTTGCCCCTGAAAACACTGCTTTACACTTTTCAAAAAACATCTTTTTAAAACAAAACTTATTCCTACTCTATATAGGGGAGAACAATTGTGAGGTTTAGGAAAAATTTCAGGTGCCATCCGATTTCTACAAGTAGAACCTTCAAATTTTCCAAGTTTCAAGGAAATCTGAGATTTACACCTGAAAAGGTTCACTGTAAGTCAAAGCTACCCAAGATAAGTAAAACTTTACTGAATTCCCCTGAATATTTTAGTGGATATAAGTGCCTCTTTTCTCCTATAAATTTCTCTTAACTTAGTATGCGTTTCATAAAATGACATGGTCTAAAATACAGTATATAATTTTCCTTCATTCTGAGCTTCGAAAATAGTGATGGTGAGTCTTATATTCGGAAAGGTCTTATTTAGTGGTAGAAACGGTAGGTGAAAAATAACTTGCAAATACTGTAGAAGTACCCTCTGGTGTTATTGAAATCAGAAAGTACTGAGCACAACATATGCAGTGAACAATTGGGAAACAATTGCTGCCATCCGAGAGGAAAACTTCTACACAAACTCTGAGCAGCTGAGGTATTACCTCGTAATTGGTGAGAGCTTTAACATAGGCCTCCAGTCTTCTTTTGAGTTGCGGGTTCTTGACTTTAGCTTTAGGTGTAGCTTTTCTGCGAGGTCGCTTTGCATCATTTTGATCATCATAATCTTCAGCTTCACTTTCAGAGTACTAAAAATGAGGTAACAATCACAGATAAGTGTTGGTCAAACATCAGAAAAGATCCCAGAAAAACAAAGAAACCTCTTCCCTCACCTGTGAGAACTCTAGTAATTCTGTAACTTTGTTCTGCATTTGTTTTTGAAGTTTGACAGCATCCTAAACAGATATAAAAAAGGAATATGATAGATAAGTATAGTGAAGTAGCTTCACACTGTAATATTTCTATAATTTAATTCAGGGGTCACGGCTATTACAGCACTAGTGAGGTGCAAAAGAGACAGACTTAGAAAGGCCAGAAGAGTGAGAGCGCGCAAATGACAACAAAGTGGCCCGCGGGCCGCTTATCGGTGACCCCTGATTTAATTTAAACTTAAGATGTATATCAATTGAGACACTTACCTTAAAAAGTCTTGAATCAGGTCGATTGTACTTTTTGGCATTTTCAAACATTATATTTAAATCCCCAGCAACTTCACTCAAGGTGCCATAACCATTTTTCTGAAATAGATAGAACACATTCATATTGAAAGTCTTGCACTTGTAAGTAGGTAAGTAATCAAGCATGTGAAAATAATTAATTTCCTCACGAGAAGTTTGTTTTTTATTTGTTGCAATGATATTGGGTTTTTAATTTCTTTATAATAGTCAGCATAGTATCGTTTTGAAGGTAATCTCCAAAATGGCTGAATTAAATTGTTGCCTGGAAAAAAATTCAGACGATCATTGTAACCCTGTTAGCAATGAAAAAGACGCAAAAATATGCATGTAATGGTTGTCCGTACCTGCATTCTTGACAGACTGATACAGCTGCCAACTAGGATTGTCTGACTCTTCATCATCTGAAGGGTCATCGTCATCATCTGAACTATCTTCATCATCCTGGTCTTGCAGTGCTGCTGCAATGGCAGAGGCACTCTGCGTGCCACGCAGCCTTTTGCTCCTTCAGTTAAAAATAAGCAATGACAAGAATGATTATTTGTTCATTGTTATAGGAGCAAAACCCCAACACAACTGCCTTTTCTCTTTCCTTACCGAATACGTTCACTGCATTTCCCTGGGGAATTTTTGTTGTGTTCAACTTCTATTTTTTTGGTCTGAATCAATTTTCGGAGAGCTTTGGCATCCTTGTAAATTTGTGAACCAGGTTCATTGTACGTGCAAGCATTTTTGGTCAGAAGAAGGAGATCTTGCTCCAAGTCATTTAGATTTGAATATTTGTTCTTTTGAATTTTGTTTCCAATTGCTTTTAAATCAATGGGATTGGAAATAATATCATAATAGTTTGGATAATGCTGGAAAATTATTCACAGGTTAATTGAGTCTTTTAAAATTGCACACAAGTAGGTAGTTTATAAATATTGACAAAGGATATAAAACCTTTTTTGAGGGTAACAGTTGAAATGGTGGATATAAGGGACGATCATCATCAGAAGCAGACATAACTGCAGAAAACAGTTCTTCTAATTGATTAGCAATTTCATCATCAGGGCTATTGGAGCTCTCAGAAGTATCATCTATTTCTTCCTTGATTATTCGGCGCTAACAAAGAAGAATATGTAAAGATACAATTAGGAAACAGCACAATTTTGAAGTTGTACAATAAATTAGCCTCATTTAGGAAGATCAGTAAACTTGAAAACTTACAGGCCTACCCCTATTTCTGAAAGAATCTAAATCACCATCAGTCTTAAGCTGATCTTTCACTGAGCAGAACAAGTCCCATAAATCAACAGCATCTTTATATTCCTGAGAAGTACGCTGCAGGTGAAAATGTTATGGTTTGTTAAATGGTCTCAATTTTTTTCAAATAAACACAGGATTAAGTGTAAAGAAAATTACCTTATAAAAAGCCTTCGCATTATTCACCATCAGTTCAACATCGACAGTCATGTCGTCAACATCTTCATATTCATCAGTCTTAATTTTTTGTTGAACTTTAATGAAATCCATTGGACTTGTGACAACCTGAAGCATTAGATAAACATTCTTGTATATGAAGCAATAAAGTAAATGCAAAAAGATAAACTTTAAATGAAACTGAGAAGCAATATGAGTCATCTTTACATTACATACTTCATAGTATCCTGGTTCTTGGCGGCGCTTTGGAGCACGTACAAATGCTTCACAGAGTATAGAGCCATCTTCTTTCTTGTGTGTTCTTAAGATATCATACACTTGTTGACACTGTTCACTCTGGAAAAGCAGAATAAGGAAATAAGGAGATTTGTAAGAGATCAATGAGGAACAAGAAGAGTCAGTCTTATAGGACATACAGGGTCAAGTTTTTTTCTCTTTCGAGCTGAAGGTTCTGGTAAAGACTGTGAATCAGACTCCCCACACTCAGACTCGCCATCTTGACGACTGCTAGTGACAGATGACGTACGCCGTCTTTTGCTCATGCCTTCTAAAAATTGAGAAAGAATCAAGTTATAACTCAGTGATGTCATACACATGAAACTACAGGTATGTCATTGTAAAGAATATCATCAAATCAATCAGGCAAATTCTTTCGCTAAGCATCTAACTGAATTTTGAAAAACAAACAAGTTGAACCATCAAAGAGATTCATAAGGATATTATTTGAACAGTCTGAAATAATGATGTATAGATAGAGAGGTCAGCCTATCAATAAAACCAAAACGGACAAGAGAAATTTCAACATCATGTTGGGAAACATTAGAAAAAGAAGTTATCATGCACAGACTAGATTTTTAAAATCCCTGCAGCAGAAAATAATGGAACTATCCGTCAAAATTACATTAGATAACCTACAATTCATAAGGAGGTCACACAAGAACATATATTTTTCTCCACATAAACTACTCAAAACCATGACAAACTGATAACACAAAAACAAACACACACTCGTGAAATCAACCTAGTAATTGAGTAAGTCCGCTAGTTTAATTGAATGACAACAACATTGTAAAAGTATTCAAACAGATAATAATGAACAGCCCATTCAAAGTATACATGTCAAACAATCGTAAACAAAACCAAAAAGTTAAGCTAGCACAGAATGGCAATTTACAACACGCCTAGTCACAAATGTAAGTCCCTTTTGCACACAAAATCACAAGAAAAACACCATAAACAGGACCAGCTAACCTATGGGGCATTGGAGCAACTCCTCATTATCCATCCCGGCGAGTGAAGACAAGACCGTCGCCAGTCTTTTAAAGTGCCACAATCACAACGTTTAAGTTTTAGACCACAGACCACACACTTACGCCTGGGACTACGAAGGATCCTAGGTATAGTTTATCAACACAAATTGCCGCCGATTGACAATGTTTATGACATTGCGTTCGGCGGTACGCGGACTTTGCCGACGTTCAGCGCATTTTCAATGAATTGCAGCGAGAGCGTGAGCAGAAACAATTCGTACCTGCAAATTCTTAATACACCAGCCCTCACAAAACTCAACCTCTCCCTAAATTGGCATATAAAACTTGCAAAAATGTAAAACTCCGACAGCCATAAGCGACAAATAAGATTGGGTAACAGCCAAACCGAAGCCAAGATTAATTTTTGTTTAGCTGCGCGTTCTTGTTCTTCTTGTGAAGGGCGGAGGGGTGCGTTCATTGATGCCAGCGTTTCTTTGGTCACGATCCTGGTCCTGGTGGTCAATGACACACCATTTACACTTTACTCATGTTTTAAATTTAAAAATGATAAAAAGCTGCCACCACGCAGAAAAGAGTATGAAATATGTGAATTAAGTTTTGATGTCAGATGTCAGCCTCGATACAGAGTAACATGTACGATAAATGAAACGGAATGGGATTTGGGAAGCCGACTTTCTCATACAAACGGAAAAGTGTAGTCTCTCGTCGTATTAGTGTCATTGATGTTCGGCAATTGAAAGAAAGGGGAAACCCACAAGCACAGATGGGCTTGCTTAAGAGTGAAAGGGTAAGGAGGCAAAATAAATCTGTTTGCAAATTTTCTTACAATAAATGTCCTTACTATCATTTAAATAATACAAGAAGAGAAACAACACAGAATTTTTTTAAAAAAATTATTTTAGGGAAATATTGATGTTCAAAATTAATGATCTCTTTCTTCTGGTGGTCGATATTGTAGATCCAACGCTTTGAAAATAGAATCTTCAGTCGGAGTTGGTATAATGTATCCACTATTCAAAACCTTGTGGCCCTGCAAAAGACTGTAACATTAATTTAAACAATCTTATGACGGAGAGAGGACTATTTAGAACCCCAAGCCAACAACCTACCTCACGAACGATACCTCCATGGAGGCTGTGCTCTGAGAGGCTCATTCCTTTCTTGGCAGCCAGAAGCCGGGCTGATCGATTAAACAAGGCAGAGCCAGTGTAGTGCATCAAGGCTGTTGCTTCTTCTGACTTTGGGACCACAAAAATATCCAAGCGTCTGTGCTATAGACCAAACAGAAAAAGCAGCTAATAATTTTTGAAATCTGGATTGTAATTACCATGGATCATATCGTAGTGTTACACACACCTTTTTTCCCTCACCAGGAAGACAACATACTCCTAAATATTTTCGTTGATTCCCTTCCTTTTCTAAGCTTACTAAATCATCAGTTATTAAACCTGTGGTGAAACCAAACAATTAAATGAAGCATTGTAAAAATTGTAAAGACAAGTAATTTTTGTGGGGGAATTACCAGTGATTTTTAATGATATTATCAGTTTTGAGAGTACTGCTTTGGAATCATAATGGTCTGGCTGGCAAATCATAATATCAATGTCTCCACAAGTATCTTTCCCTCTTCGATAAGAACCTACAGGAATGACTGATACTGAGGGTTCAATGGTTTTCATCGCATCAGAGACCTGCAAAAAATTCCAACATGAATTCCAATTGTGTTGTAGTACTAATAGCCAGGAAGAAGTAAATCCAGATGGTAGACTTACAATCAGTCCAACTTCCTCCACTTCACTCCTTGGAATACGCTGTAAGAAGTCTTCGTAATGCTTTAAGCCAATCTCTTGTTGCTTAGACAGAGCCACCTTGTCTCTCACATCATCTAATGTTCGACATCCCTATATATGAATAAAATCCATTTCACTTATTAGATTTTTGAACTCTTTAAATATTTCTAATGTAAACAGAAACTGGGTAAGAACAACAAGAACTATATGACTAAGAGATTCAGATTGCAGAACCTTACCACCTGGTACCAGTTCTCAGCAGTGGATGGTCCTACTCCCCAGATATTTGTAAATATTTGTAGAGAAATGGTTTTGCTATCGTTGCACACTTCTGACACCTTCATTAACGATCCTGTTTCTAAAATTTCCCAAACCTTTGCAGCAATTTTATCCCCCACACCAGGCAGTGCTACAGCATCCTACAATGACAGATAGGTGAGTTGTTGTTATTAAGAAATAAGAAAGAAATTACAGAATAAAATTCTACACTCACTTCATAGCAGGAAAGGACTTTCCCACACCTCTTAATGGCACTTATGGCTTTTGTGTAGCCATGTGACCGCCAAGTGTCACCTTTAATGCGAAAAGCATCAGCCAGTTTCTGTAGTTCTTGAATAATGAGTTCATTCCCTCCTTCAACTTTTGTAGGCAAAGACGAACTTTGGGAACAGGCAAATTTCTGAAATTCAGAGGCATTAATAAGAGGGCAAATCTATAGCACAGTCCAATATTTGGTACGGTTTTACTCTTACATCTTCCTGAATAGGTTTATTAGAAGTTTGTTGAGTGGTTGACTCACTGCTGGATTTAGCTCTCTTAGATGGCAAGCACCCATCTTTGGATAGTTTTGGAGGATGGAATTGATAATCTTCAAATGGTAATAACATTTTCATTTTAATGCAATCACTTAGCCACCGAGTTCCTACAATAACCTGGAATTCCCTCTCCCTTCCTAAAGTCTTCATTTGTTTATCCAGGTTGGTTTTATCTAGTAAGAATGAATCCTCCACGATAATATGAGATGGTTCACACAAACCTCCTTTGACATCTCCTATTTGACACACTTTCCCACCCAATTTTTTAATGTGGGACTCAAAAAGTGTCAAACGCTTTTTCCCAATGAGGGCTGGCATAATCAATACTTGGATGTCTTTGAACATGCTTGAGGGCTCAGAATTATCAAAAGAATTCAGCTGATTACTCATTTTTCAGTCTTAACGTATGGGAAGGATGTGAACATAAAATCAAGTTAGCGCCTCTAATTGCCTTGGTAAAAAGATATTTTTATAAGTGCTACATCAGTTGTCATTAACATTTGGTAAATCAGACTCAAATTTTTAATTTAATACTATTAATCCTCATCATCAATCGAATCTTCACTTTCAACCTCATCTAAATTTATATTTTCAATGCCAGGCTCTTCTTCAGGCCACTTGGCCTCCCATTCTGCTTGCAATCGGCTGACAAGCTCAGCTAGGAGTGCTGCATCAACATCAATATCTTCGTTTTTGCGGTCACCTCTACGTTCACTTCTTCTTAGCATATACTGGCTCAACCATTTTATGAAACCTCTTTTGATGTTCTGAAATTAGATAGAAAGAAAATATCAAGAGATTTTAAGAATTTGTTATTTTTGACATCAAATCACAATCAGAAATTAAATTTAGTATGTACATACTTTGTCAGTTTCATAATCTATAACACAAGAAATCCCTGAATCTACAATAGATATCAAGGAATACAAATCCCAAGACTCAAGTTGCATAAACTCATCAGTATGATCCAAAAGAAGATCTTTCAAAATTTTGGGCTAATGAAATGGGAGGTAATAAAATATACAAACAGACATTAATTTTAGAAATGAAAGATGGATAGATATCAACTAAGTACAATGCAAACCTTTGGATCAGCCAAGAATGTCTGCTCTACAGAAAATATTTTTTGGCAATATGCCAAACATATACACCATCTCATAGACTCAGGCACAACACATTCTAGTAGAAACGCCACATGAGCATGATGCGACTCGATTCGTAAAATTTCCATGCAGTAGTCTGCCAACTGTAAAAGAACAACCAATGAAGCCAACAAGAATACTTTCAGAAACGCATATTATCAGCAATTAAGATAAAAGTATACCCAGGATGAATTGCGAGATTCAGCATAAGTTGCTAATTGTTCCAAGCATCTCATAGCAACTGACAAGCATGACAAAAATTTTTGATCTAAAGGAAGTAGCACTAGAAAAGCAAACAATGCTTTCAAAGAGATATCAGACCCTTCAAGGTCCTTAAGCATTAGCTGGCAGTCCAATACAGTGAGAATCTGGAAATATATTCAAACATTTAAAGTTATAATGAAGTATACCCTACTCACAGTTTAGGGAAAAAGTAAACAAGACGGGAACGGAGATAGATATAAACAGAAATGATAAAAACTCACACTCTCAACATTGCAAGGAGAAATTACAGGAGATGGCTCAAGTGTAGCAATAATATCTCTTGGGTCTAAGCCTGTGATAAAGTCCTCTGGTGCAACACCTGTCAAATGATATTGTGTTTATAATATTCGCCAAAATTCAAATTATGAATCAAAGATCAAAGTACCACAACATACACACAAAAATTAAACCCAAAGGACTTAAAACTTACCCCAATTGCAAAACACTAACACAACTTCTTCATACGTCAACCTCCACAATGTATTATGCTCTATCAGCATATCACAACATTTTTGAGCAACAAGCGGATCAGAATGGCAAGAAAGTAAGAGCCACAAGTACTGCAGGAATTGTCTTTTAACATCATGACTTGAATTCTGAAGGAGAAGAATAAGGTATGAAGGAAATTTTTTATGAAGTGGAAAAGACCAAAAGAGAGTTAGTCGGAAAATACCTTCAGCTTAGATCGAATCCAAGAGAAAAATTCATCCGCATTTTCTGATGTACAAATCTGGTATTGTGAAGGAAAAATTTGTTGAGTTGTAAGATTGTCTGTAGAATGAAAGAGTCATTAAAATACTGGAAGACATTAAATTAGCAAGAAATTAAAGAAGACATGAAATACCTTGATTCAGAGATATCAAGCTTCTCTCAGACTTAAATAAATCTCTAGTGGAAGGAAGAGTTTGAATTTTTGGTTTAGGAACATATACTTCAACTGTGGCCTCTGTAAAATTAAAACTCAGTTACGATGTTGATCAAAATAAGAAAATCTTCATAACTGGAGCATGATGCAAACCTAGTGCGGGCTTATTATATTCTTCATTTAATTCAGTTATTTGCTGCCTTCTTGCTTTTCGTGCATTGTTTGCTTCAATTTCAGCATCTACATCTATCTTAGTGGGAACATAAGGCTGTAAAAAAAATAATTCTTAAAACATGATCTTCCAAAAGAGGAAAGATTTGGTACAGGAAATTTAAGGGACAATTTTTCTTTCATCAACAATTTTCTTAGAAAATGGCTTTTAGAATTGAACGAATGCATCAAAATGGGTGTAACATACTAGTATCTCACTGACACTCCCAATGGCCACATCTGGAAGTTCTTCCCCTGAGTCACTCATTTTAAAATCCTGATAAAGAAAACCAACATCAAATACTTTTGGTAGTTATCACTCCAATTTATTGTTAATTAAGTATGCACAATTGCCGCCAATTCTGTTAGGTTAAGTTATATTGAGAGACAGAGATGGTAGCTTTCTAGTTAGAATGAGTAATAAGTACAGAATGACATTAACTGAATTAATGGATATACGCGAGGTGGTTCACTGGTAATCAAACACTACACTAAAGGACTCACCTAGGATCTGGTGGTATATTAATAAATAAAATATTAATAATAGAGAACGATGTCCCGTTACATCTCTTCCACAACATGCACAAAGTGATGTAAGGGAGGGGGGAGGGGCGGGGAAAGGGGGGAATAGAATAGTGGGGGGCTCAAGGCTCAAGGCTAAGGATGTAAACAGACAGACTAGTTGGGTGAAGTTGATTCTGAGAAAGAAACTGTCGGAGAAAAGAAATGGATTACAATTTCGGAACAGTATTAAATGCTTTCGCAACCCTCAAAGAATCTCTATCAGTCAGTGACTGCTCCAATGAAAGACAGGGGAAGATAAAATGTTTTCTAGAACAAATAGCCTTGCAACCGGTGTCAGTGGGTGACTTCAAAGTAGGTTAGTTCTATAGGTTCTAGTACTGAAATTGCTCTATCTCAACAAGATTTTTTCAGAGCATAAGTTCTGTTTTAATTTTTTGTCCGGTAGGATTGGAGTGGTTCAATTGCAGAGAGCCTTTATCATTTACAAGACACTTAAAAGGCAAGATTGTTGTTTTAGACTTTTTTACATACTGTTGTATTAATTGTCTCCATATACTTCCTCATCTACGTCAACTGGAAAGGCGGTTTTCTGTTGAGGATGGAGTTGTCATTGTAAGGTCCAAATGTTATATCCATTGCTTGCATGGTTTTACCTCTGCTTAATCAACGCTCTCATATTTTCAACCAGATAGGTGTTCATAGTGCCAAGTTTGACAATGAAAAAGATTCAGGAAACATATCAGCTGCATTGAAGAGATATGATATTTCCCATCCCGT